TGTTTTTCACACTATAAGTACACGACTCTTTCATTAACACAAGGGACCCCATCATTCGTAGTCTTTCTAAACTTATACTCACACTCAAAAAGTATTCTCTCTTATTGTTATTACTGTGGCCTGTTTACAAGTTTTGCTGCCTGCTTTCTCTATTTGCTTCTTTGAAACTGGTATGTCCTTATTTAAGCTTTGTAGCACCACAACAATGTGTTTTTCTTACTACTTTTGTACCCCTATTTTCTTACTACTTCTGTATAGTTCAACACTTACTCTAGCATGCTGTAATTTCCTTCTCCCTATTCTAAATCTATTGTGAAACCCAAAACACCCACTCCCTATGTGTTTATGCTATGGTTTGAGGCATGGAAGTACTGCAAATTATTGTCCATAACTCAAATTTGATCCCCTGGGATCCTAGCCTCTAATATGATGTGTTCTGGCAGAATTATAGGCATGCCAACATCCTCCATTGCTGGGTATGCCTAAAGCTTGCCCTAGCCTAAGCAATAGGCTCTTTGCAACTCCCCTACTCCCTGAACCCCTTTTGTGCACCTGTTTGTGGTTGTTTCCCTCTCCTTTATTCCTTAAAATTCTGTTCTTCACTTGCACTCTCTCTTAGATTTTAAGTTCTGCCCCCCTCTTGTGAGCCTTGCCTTGGGACCCTTTGAGCTCCCTCAAAACTTGGACACTCGAGGGCTGGCCCTTCCACACTGCACTTGTCCATATTCTGGTGATATAATTTGGGTGTGAGCATTGCCCGGAGTCCCATTGGGGCTTTTAGGGAACTTTGACACACTCAAATTAGAGAAAGGCTTTGGATCATGATCTCTTGGAGTTGGTTTACCTCATATTTCAGACAGGAAGTCTGAATCAGGCTCTCCTTTGGTTGTACTTTTATTTTACTATTTTTTGATGTAATTTTTATTCATTATGGTTTGTAATAAGTTGTAATAAATGCTTGGGGCTGGCTAGTGAAAAAGGGTGGGTAACTCTGCATGCAAAGGGTAGAAATCATGTCTATAGGTCTATCATAATTTTGCATATTTCAAATACATATAGAAACCATGACTATAAGACTACTATATTCCTGCCTATCCAACTATCATATAGAAACCATGTCTATAGGTATTCTGAATTCTGCATATTCAACTTCGTATAGAAATTATGCATATGGGTTTGTCAATTCTGCATATTCAATTACATCTAGATACCATGTTTATAGGTCTTAAACAAATTCTGCATCTATATGTCATGTTTATAGGTTTAAAACAAGCCTTATGCATTTAGATACTATGTCTATAAGGTTTCTGCATTTTTACACCATGTCTACAAAGTTTAAAATCAGCAATGCATAGAAAGCATGCCTATAGGAATTGCTAATCGAATCTGATTCGCCTCACTCAGTGTTAGATATAAAACCAGTAATAATGGATACTGACGATTGCAGAATTTATAATCAATTCGTTAATTCCTGCCTCTCTTTTAATAATTTGATTCCTCCACTTAGCAAGTTTAACAAGTATGCATTCAAATAATTTATTTCAAGCCTTACTATTTTCTGAATTCAGTAGATATCATGCCTATAGGACCCCGTATTAACACTTAGGCGAGCCTTAGGGTAAAGTTATAATCTGAATCTGTTCTATTAATTACAACTAGCAAGCAGGCCTGATTCGGGCTTCTTATCTGAATTATGTAATAAATCAGTCTGCCTCAACCTTTAAGTTATTTCACGTTTAGTATTCAATCAGACCCTAAACAGTATGTGTAAGTCATGCTAATTACGTGCTTCTTTGTTTAAAGGGGGTATATTTGAGCCTTTGCTTGTTATGTGCTTTCCCCAACTTGTTATACGTGTTTTGTATGCCGCCTTAGAATTTTGCCCATTTGAAATCACAAATAAGCCTAACATCCCTTCCCTTTAGGATTAGTAGTCCTAATACCTCCGGGACTGATAGGATTGTGACAGGTAATAGCATGCAATAGGTAAACGAGACCATTCCGCGCTTTAATACCTTAACGGGGTGGGAAGGGTAGATACGGATATGATGACCACGCGATAATGTCATGTGTAGCCCCTCATCGAGGAGTGATTACCGGGCATTGTGTGGGGTGATCCATATTATTAATAAACCTAGGACCCTTCTCCCTTTATTCTTTATTTTTTAACTCTTTGTTTAAAATCAGCTTTTCTAATTATTCTTTCAAACCTTGTTTACTTTCAAACCTTTATGTGATGAAATCTCCTCTTATTTGAGCCCTATTTGTTTGTATGCTAATTGTACCCAAATTTACAATAATAGTCTGGCCGGGAACCACACTAGTGGATTCTGAGGGGTGCCTAACACCTTCCCCTTAGAATAATTTCAAGCCCTTACCCAATCTCTGGTTACTCAAATCAAATCTCCTTGGTGTCCTAATGCACCTTGATCATTAGGTGGCGACTCTTCAAATCAAACCCAATTTTCCAAAAGGAATGAGTTGTCCTCCCAAATGATAAACCCGATTTCGCGAGAAAAAGGGGGCGCGACAGTGAGTACGCCAACTCATTAAGTAACCAAAGTAAATAAAGACTGAGAAGCAGTGACGAGCAATAAAGCATAATAAGTTCATATCAGGAAATCTCAGTAAAAATATAACAGGCTTTTAAAAGCAGAGTTTGAATCAAATCATTTCGTTTTAACTCAGTTTCAGTAAAATCATTTGAAGATATTTTTCAACAGTTCTCAAACAGAGGCTCAGTGCAACAGTGAGCAAAATGATGAAATCACAAATAGCACCTCGGGCAAAACATCACTCATAAGCAGCCCCTCGGGTAGAACATCACTCATATACAGCCCCTCGGGCAAACCTCACAGTCATTCGTATACAGCCCCTTGGGCATACCTCACCATCGCTCACACTCAAGGTACCTGCGCTCACTGGGGGTGTGCAGACTCCGGAGGGGCTCCTTCAGCCCAAGCGCTATAACAAGCCACCTCATGGCATAAATCAATCAGGCCCTCGGACTCACTCAATCATAAACCTCTCAAGCCACTCAGGCTCTCAGTAAAACAGGGTACTTAGCCCAACACAACATTTTATATGTATCAAACCAGAGTAATAAAGACTGAGTTATAAAATCAATAAGTGTAACAAGACTGAGTATAGATTTTCAACCAAAAACAGTGAGAGGATAGTAAGAAAAGGCCCCCAAGGGTCCAAACAGATCTGGCACAAGGCCCAAATATGCCATTCAGCCCTATTTACAGGAACTCTTTCTAAAACACATAAGTAACATATAGTTTCAACCAAATACGCAACTTTATAGCTGCTACGGGACGAACCAAGTCACAATCCCCCAACGGTGCATGCCCATACGCCCGTCACCTAGAATGTGCATCATCTCAAAATAGTAAAAAGATACAAAATCCGGGGTTTCATACCCTCAAGACTAAATTTACAATCGTTACTTACCTCAAATCGGTCAAATCTCTATTCCGCGATGCTCTTGCCCCTCGACTCAGCCTACAATCTCTCCGAATCTATTCACAACCAGAACAATACCATAAATATGCGCTAATGGAAGGAATTCCACAAGAAAAACTATCAAATTAGGCGCAAATCCCGAAATCCTCTCAAACCCGGCCCCCGGGCCCACGTCTCGGAATCCGACAAAAATCACATAACTAGAAAGCCCTTTCACTCACGAGTCCACACTTACAAGATTATCAAAATCCGACTCCATTTGACCCCTCAAATCCTCAATCAAACTCTCCAAAATTCTAAGCCCTAACCCCTCATTTTCACCCCTAATATGCACTAACTACATGATAAAACAATGGGAAATTACCATAAACACGAGTATTAGGGCTCAAATTATTTACCTCAATGAAAACCCCCTTGAATACCTCTTCAAATTGCTCCCAAAAGCTCAAAAACCAGATAAAAATGGTGAAGAATGACCCAAAATTCGCAAAGTCCACAATTTATACTTTCTGCCCAGAACTTCCGCATCTGCGGTCCAATAGTCGCATCTGCGATGCTGCACCTGCGGGAAATCCATCACAGGTGCGGTTCCTACTTAACCCTTCAAAAATCGCTTCTGCGGTCACAACACTACACCTGCGGTCTCGCAGGTGCGCTCCACTATCCGCACCTGCGGCTCCTGCCTCATCTCTCCAAGATTCCGCATCTGCGGTTCACCTTCCGCATCTGCGATCATCGCACCTGCGTTTCCCACTCCGTAGGTGCGAAAACATCAGAAGCAGCAGCTTCAGCTGCCTTATTCCACTTCCCAACTCTCCGTTAACATTCCTAATTCATCCCGAGGCCCCCGGGACCTCAACAAAAAATACCAACAAGTAACATATCAACATACGGACTTAGTCGAACCTTCGGAACACTCAAAACAAGATCAAAACACCAAATCACCCTCGGATTCAAGCTTAAGAACTTCTAAACTGCCAAATTCCCCGAACGACGCGGAAACAGACTAAATCACCTCCGAACGACTTGAAATTTTGCACACACGTCCCAAATAATAATACAAACCTACTCCAACTTACGGAATTCCATTCCGACCCCGATATCAAATTTTCCACTGCCGACCAAAATCGCAAATTTTTTAATTTCGCCAATTCAAGCCTAATTCTATCTCGGACCTCCAAATCACATTCCGGACGCACTCCCAAGTGCAAAATCACATAACGGAGCTAACCGGACCACAAAAATCCAAATCGGAGATCGTTTACTCATAAGTCAACATCCGGTTGACTTTTCCATCTTTAGCTTCTAAATAGGAAACTAAGTGTCTCATTCCGCACCGAAACCACTCCGGACCCGAACCAACCAACACGATACGATGAAATATAGTTGAGGAAAATATAAGGAAGCAGAAATGGGAGAAACGGGACTATAATTCACAAAACGATTGGCCGGGTCGTTATAGCAAGCCTCCGGGCAGTGGTTTTCAAAACTATCTGAGGCTTTGCTCTCAAGAGGCTACATTTCCAGTCTCAATGATTACTCTCTTCACCAAATCCTCCTCTGGCTCTTTGGTATTATTGACTGTCTATGTTGATGATATCTTATTGGCTGGAGATGATCTTACTGAAATAAAATCCCTGAAGTCCTTTTTGGATGATCAGTTCAAGATCAAGGATTTGGGTTCAGTCCACTATTTCTTAGGTTTGGAAATCTCCAAGACCCCCCCCCCCCCCTCCCAGGGTTATATCATGAGTCAACATAAATATACTAATGATCTCCTTGCTGAGTTCAACTGCAATTATTTTTCTTCTGTTGTGACTCCTTTGGATCCTTTTGTTACGTTGACCCTAGACATGGGTGATCTTCTCCCTGATCCTAGTCTGTACAGGAGCCTCATTGGCAAGTTCAATTTCCTGCAGCACACTAGACCAAATATCTCTTTTTCAGTCCAACATTTGAGCCAGTTTTTTCAGAAACCTCATGTTCCTCACATGATGGTTGGACTGCATGTTCTCAGATATTTGTTAGCTCGTCCTTCTCAGGGTGTGCTTCTCTCCAACTCTTCTGACTTGTACCTTGTGGCCTATTCTGATTCTGATTGGGATTCTGGTGGTATCTCTCGCAAATCAATTACTGGGTTTTATGTGACACTTGGTGGGAGCTCAATCTCTTGGAAAAGTAAGAAACAACCCACCATTTCTCTGTCTTCCGCTGAAGCTGAATACAGGGCCCTAAGGAAAGTGGCTGCTGAAATCTCATGGCTGGTCAGACTACTTGGGGATCTTGGTTTTACTATTTGCACTCATGTCCCAGTCCATTGTGATAGTTAGACTGCCCTTCATATTGCCAAAAATTTAGTTTTCCATGAGCGTACGAAGCACATTGAGATTGATTGCCATTATGTTCGTGAGTGTTTGAATCCCGGGCTTATCTCTTTATATTTTGTTTCCAGTGCTAACCAACTAGCTGATATTATGACCAAGGCTCTATGTGGGCAGCTTCATCACAGCATTTTTGGCAAGCTTGGTATGTTTTCACCCTCCAGTTTGAGGGGGTGTTAACCAGATATGGACTCAGCCATTTCAGTTAAAGGAAAGGGCCCAGCCCAGTAGCAATAGAGGATACCCGGCCCAATTGTATTTTTGGTTTTATTTATATTCTTTACATATTTTATTGTTGTACATATATATACACACATATTATGTAAATAGCAAGATAGATAATAAAAATACATAGGTATGTTCTTCATTTCAGACCGACTCATTTCTCCCCTCTCTCTCTCTCTCTCTCTCTCATCACCCTAGCTAAAGTTTTCTTCTTCTCTTTCCGCCATAACTGGTTAATCTTCAACCTAACATGATTCAATCTAGATACTTCAGTAGTAAAAAATCTTGATTGTTGTAGTCATATCATATCATATCAGGTTTCCCTTGCCAAGTTTCATTAATAAATTTTTTAAAGATTAGGGGATTTAACCACATAGAAGTTTAATCAAAATATAGTTTTTTAGGTCGAAGTTAATATTAGAATAAATTAGGTTTCTAATAACCAATTTTACTTTACTTTTCCAAATATAAAAGAGTAAAAAGAAATCAAAATTAAATATTCAATAAACAAAGGAAAGAAAATCTTATTGATGATTGTTATTTCCTTCCAAGAATTGCGAGTGAGAATTTTCAATCAATCTAGATACTTCGGTAGTAAAAATCTTGATTGATGTAGTCATATTAGGCTTCCCTTGCCAAGATTCAATCCTATATATTATGTTCCCTTGGTATTTTACTCTTTGAGTAAGCAGCATGGGGCAATGATCGGAGGAGCTTCTTGTTAGAAGAGTTATATTAGCTTCTGATAAGCGCCATCCAATATTAGTTGGCAAGACATCGATTTAATCTTTCAAGGATTAGGTTAGTTTGTTTCTTCCTTTTGTCAGTCCAAGTGAACTTACTCCCTCTACAACACAAATATGTCATACTACAACAATCAAATACTCCTTAAAGTTGTTAAGTTAGTTACCATTCACATGTTAGCTGTCACGACCCATTTTTTGAACAAGCCGTGACCGACACCCGATCGCTAAATTTGACCGAGCGAACCATTTGCCCTTATCAATTATCCCTTCAAACTTTATATGCAACAAGGCAATACTTTAATCAAATACTTTTAATTAATTTGAATATCTATAATAAACTAACTCCAAAACCTTATTCGTGGTAACTACTGAAACACTGAAAAGTTATTATCAAAAATATCTGAATCTTAACCCACCAACAGTGTCTATGAAGCCTCTACTGATACTGACGCACTGCTCAAGACATGGGATTTCCTGGCTAGTTCTCCAAGTAAATAAAGAAATAGCTAAAATAATGATGACTCAAAGGAATACTCCATGAACAAAAGTGGAGCTCACCAATAGCACTGGAAGTGAGGGAAGTCCTAACATGTAGCTCGCTCGCCTGCAAAATCGGTTCCTACATTGTACCAAGACCAATGCAGGTTCCCAAAAAAAAATGTCAGTACCATCCAATGTACTCAATGAGTCTAAACGGCCCCCTACTAAAGCAGGGAACAAAAATTTAATAAAATATACATTAGAAACAAAGATTCTAAATGCATGAATAACATAAAGCTTCTACAATTCTAAAATAATTGCATAGCAGCAGTGTATGAATATTCTAAAATAAATTCTTTTCTTTTTCTTTCTTATCTAAAAAAATACTTCACTTTATGCTTCGGGAGTTCCAACTATCCTGACTTATTTCTTTCTCAGTCATCGTGTGATCGGCACGGGTTGGATTCCAACCTGATCGAATAGGCCCAATCCATGGGTTCTCAGTGCTCATGTATCATATCTTAGCATGACTAGGAAAATTCTCAGCAACGAGACCCTCGGCTCGTGTGCTCCCTACTTTGGCAAAAGTAGTTTCAGGAAGTCAACGCCTTGGTCAGGACTCTCGGCCTGGACGATGACCCCTGTAGACAATTAAAATTGTATTGAATTTAAATCCATAAGAAATTTAGATTTAGTCTCAAATTAAATATATTTTTGAATCCAAATAAATATTATGTGCTAATATAATTGAATTAATTATATAAATCAAATATATATGAATTAAATAAATATGTCTTAACACATTGGGCTAGCCCCTTTAGTTGGACTACAAGTGATGAGCCCACTTCATTAGGCCCAAGATATCATCTTCCTAGAGGCCCAGTTTGGTGCCACGTGTCAAATGACATGGCACGCGAAGTCAAACTGAAGATCCAATAGGATCATGCCACGTGTCAAAGTGACAAGGCATGCAAAGTCACATTAAAAGGCCAATAAAACACGCCACGCGTTCAAGTGACATGTTCTGGCCAATCAAATGCGGCCTTGTCACACTTCAATTTGATTGGTTCTTATCATAACTCTTCCCTTCTACAACTATAAATAGGGGTCTTCATAACCCATAGAGGACACCAGAAGTTATAACAAGAAGCAAGAAAGAGCTCGTGGATCAAACACTACAAATTCCTCCACAAGTTTCAAGCTTCAAGCAATATTCAAGTTCAAGAATTCAAGTTCAAGCTCAAGAACGAAGAACAAATCAATATTCAAGGAGTACGAGTTCAAATCAAAGTTCGTGCTAGTTGAATTCAAGATTATTGTTCGTGACAAAAAATATAGATTCAAGATCATCTCAAAGGCTCTTGAATTTATTTACTATTGAAAAGAAGAATCGTATGATTCATAGAGATTGTACACTCATATTATTTGAAATCAAATATTACGATCGTTGCAATATTTTTCGGTCTTGATTTTATTTTCTCAATGCAATTTATTGTCTACAAATTCTAGCATGCCTAGTGGGTCAATATCTACCTCTCATCTCAACTTTTCAATCACCAATGTTCAAGAGCATCAAAATGGCTTCAAAGAAAATCAACTCCAGATCAACTTCTACCAAGGCTGCTAACTCGAGGTTCTTTGCTGATGTGGAAAGCATCCTCGATGTTACCTTTGGAAGCTTTGGACCAGTTACGAGGAACAAAGCAAGCTATTTAGGATAATAAGCACTCCAAGTGCCGTCCACATCAATCCCTGTTTTGAGATCTTCATCCTCAAAAAGAGCACGATCCTCTACGAACGTACCCGAAGGAGGAAGCAACATTGCTGAAAAGATCAAGAAAACTCTAGCTCTGCTTGACCTTTCAGGATAGAAGAACTCTATTGTGAAGAAAGATGATGATATGTCAAGTGATGGGTCTTCCCCACTTACACCACATAGCGTGATCCGTTCGAGAATCTATCTGTGTGTTAATCTATGCTACTTCCCATCATCTATAACAATCATGCAAGACATGGTGACAAACACTTCATTTGTGGAAGAGCAGTTGGCAAACTTGACGGAAGCAATCGCTGGCTTGACCAAGTGCATGCAAAATCAAGATGCTAGAATTGAAAAGCTAACAGACAGGGTGCGAATCTTGATGGAAGAAGAATCCACCCATGCACCTAGCAAACTCCCAGAAGTTCAAGAGATTGATCCTCCCCCACGACAAGTTGCATCCACTAAGGAAATCCAGTCTCTTCGAAAGGGATGATTCCAATCAATCAACTAAAGGAGTTCATTGAAGGGACTATAAAAAACAAATATGAAGTTGCTTCCAAGTCCTTCTTTACCTACGCAAAGCCGTACACTTCAAGGATCGATATGTTGAAGATGCCTGCTGGCTATCAACCTCCAAAATTTCAACAGTTTGATGGCAAAGGAAATCCAAAACAACATGTGGCGCACTTTGTTAAGACATGAAACAATGCTGGGACTTATGGAGATTACCTCTTCAAGCAGTTTGTCCGCTCATTAAAAGGAAATGCTTTTGATTGGTACACAGACCTTGAGGCTAGATCTGTAGATAGCTGGGATCAACGAGAGCAAGAATTCATCAATCACTTTTATAGCACGATACGTACTGTGAGTATGGTAGAACTTACAAATACTCGTCAACGAAAGGGTGAACCAATTATCGACTTTATCAATCGTTGGAGGAATGCAAGCCTCAACTGAAAAGATAGGCTTAGTGAAGCTTCATGCATAGAGATGTGCATCCAAGGCATGAATTAGGGACTACGCTACATCTTGCAAGGTATCAAGCCTGGCACATTTGAAGAACTTAGCGACTCGTGCCCATAGCATGGAGTTGAGCATGGCCTCTGCTAGAAATGAAAGGTTGCCCATCTATGAGCCTCGTAAAGGGAACGACAAGCAAGAAGTTAGGAAATGAGCAATTTTCTACCTAAGTCTGAAAATAAAGAAGCTATGAATGTCAACACATCACCTGTGAAGTTCACAACGATGGTGAGCAAGAAGAAGAGTACGAAATCCACTTCTTTTCAAGATAAGCCAAGTGGAAAGTTGACTATAAAGAAATGCAAAAGGAGTACCCATTTCTGGTTTCTGATGTGCCAGCAATTTTTGAAGAACTCCTCGAGTTAAATCTCATTGAGCTTCTGGAGATGAAGCGACCAAATGAAGATGGGAAAACGAATGATCCAAATTAATGCAAATATCATCGACTTGTAAGCCACCCTCTGGAGAAGTGCTTTGACTTCAAGGACAAAGTTATGGAGTTGGCCCGTGAAAAGAAGATCGTGCTTGAAGATGAGAAGGCAAGTGAGAACCAAGTCTCTATCACTCATTTAGTCTACAGATGAGCTATGCAGTTTAAAAGAATCAAAGATGAAGAATTACTGGATAATAACAAAGTCGAAATAGACCACCATGATGATGATGAAGGTTGGACGTTGGTGACTCGCCGTAGGCACCACGAAAGGAGCCCACGAAAA